TTAGAGCCGATGCGGCACTTAGAGAACCTGCAAGAAAGGAAATAACCGACTCAGTTTTCGATGTAGTCGTTCTTCCTGGGCAGAGTCTTGGACCCGGTCCGTCGGCACAAGTCGTTGTCGAGCGCCCTGTTACTGCGACGACTACTCCCAAGCGCCTAGGTTGCTATCGCCAGGCCAAGTTACCGTTCGCGAAGCCGAATCCGGGAACTGTCGAGCCGCCGGCGTCGATACCTGCTGATGACGATGAAGAGCCGTCTGAAGATGATACACCTTCAACCTCCAGGAAGTCTCTAAGTCCTTCCGAGCTTTACGTTGAGGCTCTTTCCCGTTACAAGTCGAGGTGGCAAGAGCAGTTTCCCTGGCTCATTTTGTGTAAAGCTAATGATGGGCGCCCTGCCTTTAAGTGTACCATCTGTCTGGAGCATGCAGGGCTCTCTGGAAGGACTGGTCGTCATGGGCCAGGAATCACAGACGCACAAACACAGGCGTTCAACAGGCACGCTAGTACCGGAAAGCACCGCCTCACGTTCGGGAAGCAAAACGTTCTGCTGCAGGAAGCTACTACCCAGACGCGAATCGATCGGAACCCGCATGCCGCGGATTTGGAGAGGGAGCGAGTGAATGCACTTCTCGACCTGCTGTACACATGTTGCAAGACCAACGAACCCATGGACACATGGGTCACGATCACCAACCACCTTGCGTCGCGGAAGTTCAAGAATTTCCCCGAGGGCGGATACGGGACGTACATGAACTCGTAAGGCCTAAATTCCTTTAGAATCTTAAGCTTCTTATTCTTACCTTCCATCCTTATAAACCACTAACGACGAGATTTTTTATGTTGTTAAACGCAGGTATGGTTTCAGGGAGTTCACGCAATCCACCGCGACCTGGCTACACACCACCCAGCTGGAGCACCTCCTGCGGAGCCCGTTCATCGGACTTAGCCTCGACAAGAGCACGGACCGTTGCAGAGGAAAGCACATGATAATCTTCTGCACTTTCATCCAGGACCTCCGCTTCGTCACCGAGTACCTGGCGCTGCTCAGCGTTGACAAGGCGGACGCCTCTTCTCTGCTCGCTCTGGTGCTCTCCCACCTCCAAGCAATTGGTGTCGATCTCCGCCGCATCTCGGGCATCAGCACAGACGGGGCGGCGGTGATGATGGGCTCGAAAGCCGGCCTGGTGACTCGACTCCGGATGCGTATCCCTCACATGGTCTCCTGTCACTGCATCGCTCACCAGTAAGTTTTTTTTTTTTTTTTTTTTTTTTTTTTTTTTTTTTTTTTTTTCGTATTTGCACAGATGGTGATTCGGGACAATACTAGCTATCACTCATGCTGGTTTGTTTGATTTCTCCCCGCTTTCTTTTCCATGTGCAGAGAGGCGTTGGCAGCTCAGGCGGCGGCGGAGGACATGCCGTTCTTCAACATCGTCGATGATGTTATCAAGGAACTGGCCGAGTTCCTTGGTCGCTCAGGACCGTGGCACCAGCGCTTCCTCAACCTCCAAGACGTCTTCCTCTCGACGTGCTTGGAGCTGCAGGGTATTCACCAAGTCAGATGGCTCTCACGTGGCGAGGCCATCCGACGACTGGTGAAGGTCTTGCCAGCCATCGTCGTCATGCTGTCAGAGTTTGCCGACGACCGTCTTTACAAGATTTTCACGAGCTACAGGTTTTGGTTTGTGCTCATGTTTCTTGCTGATGTCCTTGAGCAGATGAACATTCTCAACAAGACTTTCCAGAGCCGCGAGGTAAGTTTCGTCACATGGTGTTTCTAAACCGCTACTGACAAACCATTGTTGTCTTACCTGCATTCTCAAACCCCTTCCCGCAGCTGGACATGTCAACGATTTACGCGTCGGTCTCCCGCGTGACGTCCCTCCTTGAAAGCCGCTACGTCGACTGCGGCAACGACTTCAACGGGGGCCCAAAAGACCTGCTCATGGCCTTCCTCGACCGTCACGGTCCTGGTGGTACGCGCAGCGTCACTGTTGAGGGCATCGACTCCGATGGGCGCCCGAGTCGATTCACTTTCGACCTGCATGAGGAGCCATTGGATGGCTACCCGGGTGAGGGCAAGCACGACGATTGTGACGTGGCGTGCATGGCGCTGGCCGAAGGCATGGTGCAGAACCTGGACGAGCGGCTGGGGGACTTGAAGCAGCTGTGTGGTTCGATGCTGTTCTGTGCGGACCAGTGGCCCAAGGGGTGGGAACTTGCTCCACGGAAGGCCCAATGTCTAGAGTGGTTCGGGATGATGGTCGACTTCTACCATGCAGGGGAAGCCGAAGAAATTCTTCCAGGTATCGTCTTTAACCCCGAGGCTTGCACGATTTGTTGATCTGGTCCGCTCTACCCTACTGTACTAATACTCTCCTCGTTCTCCCTCCTACCCTTCCCCTACTAGCAGGCATCAACAAGCGAGCGGCTGCGCTGGAGATCCCCCATTTCTGCCCCGTCCTTGTCGCCCTGCCAAAGGGTGACAAGGGTTTCTACACCGGCTTGACGACCATGCTGAAGTCTCCAGACTGGGAGGATAGCTTCCCCAATCTCGTCAAGCTGTGGTGCGCTACGGCAGTTCTTCCCCTCAGCACAGTGGAATGTGAACGAGGGTCCTCCCGCCAGAATGTGATTAAGAGCTGGCTGCGGGGCAGCATGAAGGACTCACGCCTTCGAGACTTGATGTGTATGAGCCTGCTAGACTACGACCCGGACTGGGATGCCATCATTGACATCTGGAGAGCCTACAAGAAGAGGAAGCCCTACATCACTGCCCCACAGAGCAGAGCCCAGAAGAGTAGGAAGGGTAAAGAGAAGGAGGACGATTCCCCTATAGTTCACGACAGCGTGCAGGCAGAGGAGGATGCTTAAGTAGGTCCTAGTATGCCCATGTTAAATTGTAAACCCTTGTCTTTAAAGAATATAGTAATAATGGGCATTTAGTTGAACAGTGTGTTTTTTGTACGTAACTCTGTTTTTTCAGCGCAAATTTTTTACAACACCCTGATTGATCAGCGTAAGTTTCTTTGCGAGGCCTGAAAAAACAGTGAGGCAAGGGGGGGGGGGGACCCTGAGCGATCAGCGTGCCCCAAAACGAATCCGAGGCCCTGCTTTGGACCCTTGCCTCAGAGGTTGGACTAGTAGTGCCACCCTGAGCTGTGTGTCTCTTGCTATTCGCTGCCCCTTGTCTAGCCTAGGGGGTGTGTCAACATATAATTTGTATATGTTATTAGCTAGCTAGGTGCATGCTCATATAGAGTACAAGCCCTTAGGTGATATCCTCTTGTACCACCTTATTCTAGCCAATTTGTTATACTCTAAGAGGAGACATTACCATTTGTGCAATTAGTCAATTTGTGCACAGGAGACCTTACCATTAGTGCGCATGCCATGTGGCAAAAACATGGGCAATTTTTGCATGCCTAAAATTTCAGTGTGAATGTTATAGAAATCAGCTGAGGTGCAGCAAATCTAGGCGTGACAAAGTGCAGTACGTAACCTACACGCGCAAAGCGGTGCAGCAGTGTTCGTCACCGGAAGATTTTCCGTGGGAGTCCAAAAAATGTCGTGGATTTGACCCACACCCCTCCTGAGGGGCCCAGCATGTGGGGCAGGCTGAAATTCGCAGGGCAGCATTTTTTTTCCATTCGATTGGATTCCTGGCCGGGGCTGGTACGTGTGAGGAGCTATGGAATCCTTTATGAAAAAGTGCCAGCTGTGTTGGTCCTAAGCTGCGGTTGTTATTGAACGGACCTCACTTCAGAGTATTTTTTCCTGGCTTCCTGAGTTATGCTTGGCTGGTTTGGTCCCTGGGTTGGTTTTAGATCGCTCGTCGTTGACGAGCTTCGACCTCGCATGATACAGTGTTGAAAATGTATTTAACTACTGCAACCCCTTAATTGACGTTGATACACCACACTTAGCAAAACACTTCCCCCTTCCCCCCCCCCCCCCAAACCCCCCATTGGTACTAACTGTATGACAGAAGCGCAGACGGGCAGGCGAGAAACGTTCCATGGCGAGCAGGCATTTGAAAGTGCATTTATGATGCGAGTAACTAGCCAGCACAGGTGTGGTCAGCTCTTCTCGGGATCGTCCCTCCACGTCGGGTCGCTTCCTCATGAAGTCGAAACGGATTTCATTTCGCACTTGCGAGGTGCATATGCCGCCACATCACCAAATCGCAACTCGCGCTTCCAGCTGCTCCATGCAGACGCAAGTTCCGGATCGCTTATTGATAACGTTCACCATCCCTCATGCCGCACATCATGACCCCCTCACGTTGCCAGACTGTCGGTGACTTGGGTTCGATTTGTTCCCACGAGGGTGTGTGGTTATAATACAGCACCCATGCCGCGTTGGACTTCAAAAGTGCCAGGTGCTGACATGTAACAGGTTGAGCACAGCAAATTGAAGGTTGACGCGGATCAAGTTGTAAGCGGATCAAGTTCGCGGCTGAGAGGAAGCGATGTGAAATCGAAGGATGGAAATCGAGTGAGGAATCAGGTGAGGAAAGTGGCGGAGGAAGGGAGTGAGGTGGGACTCGAGAGGAGGGAGTGAGGGGGGGCCACCGGCGCTGATGTGTTTGGGTGGCGGGCAGTTGGTGGCGCGTGGTTTGGATTGTAAGGGGTGGAGGGGATAGATTCGGATTCATTGCGCTTAGGCGCACTTACGTACCACTGGACTTCTGGCGGGCCAGGCCATCCCGGCAAGGCCTCGGGGAACCGGGGGGACCAGGGGGAGCAAAACTGCGCAGCTTCCAACATCGCTCAGCTTGGGGAGGCAAGAAGAGAAGGGGGGTGGCGGAGAATTGACCTGGTGGACAGGCTTCCAAAAGACTCCGCGGAGAGGAGGGAACCCTCGTCCAGCCAGAGCAGAGGGGGCTGCGTGCACCAGCTTTCGTGTCCCAGCCCAGGCTGAGGAGGAGCACCAGCGCAGGATCAGCATTTTCTGTGAGCAGTGAGCAAACCACCAGAGCATAAAAGAGTGGAGCCATTCCACATTCTGGTAACAGGATCAGCAACCAGCCTTTTACCAACCAACTTGGTCAGCATACCCTCGCCTTAGCGTCTAGTCAACGAGTAAGCAAGTCCCCAGGTTCACTCACAGGCGAATCGTAATACCTTCGCGTTTTTCTCTACAATGGATTACACAGGATCAGCCGCAGCAGTCTCCTCACCTTGGGACACGAATTGCGACAGCCAATGGGAGCGCTACACCTCGCTCTACCCCTCCACCCGTGCCGCTAATCTCTACGCCGACGGCAGCGGCGCCGCGAATCTCATTAACGACACGGACGACTGCGATTCGGACTCAGAGCAGTACTACAACTCCCGCTTCTCCCTAGATTCCAACTCCTCGGATGGGAGCCGTCACAGCAGCGGCGCGTCGTGCTGGGAGGCCGAGCTCGCGTGCGACCCGGTGTGGGTCGACGACGCTCGTTCGCGGATTCGCCACGCGGCGCTCGCCGTCGTCGAGACGCAGCAGGCCGTCGCAGCCGCCAACTGGAAGCAGCGCTGCTTCGCTGACTTTTCCGACGACTGCCCGGAAACGGTTGACGATTTTTGCGGCTGCCCGGCCGCCGCGCAGCCATGCCCGCACGACGAGCTCGCCGCTTCGTACCGCGCGAAGTACGAGCCTGCTGAAGCGCGCCGAGCCTCCTCCCGTCCGTCTTCAGCCGGCGAGTCAAACCCTAACGTTGCCTCTCCACGCCGCGGCAGGAAGGGATTTTTTGGAAAGACGAGCGTGCGTAGCAGCGATGACGGCGCTTCCGAAGAGGTTTCGGGGTCCAGCAGCGAGCCGAAGGCGAAGAGCCATCGCAGGGGCCTGTCTTCGTACCTCTCTGGATGGATGTAACCCGTAGGGTTACCATCTTCTTATAGATACTAGCTAGTTGGAGGAGGCACTTAACAACAGGTTACGGGCGCGTGGCGTCCCCGTGCCTCCTCTCAGCCCTAAGGCGTGCTGCCATGTTTTCCCCGTATTGCGGGTGCCTTTTGTTGATGAATCCAGTTTACGGATCAATTTTCTGACTCACCTCTTTGAGGAAAAAAAAAAAAAAAAGTGCTAGCTAACCACACAGAGAGAAGTCTCGTGTTCCTATCTGGGCTCGTCACACATGCGTGAATTATGACCAAAACTGCCATAGGAAAAATCAGACTTACCGTATAATTTTGGCATGTGTGAAGTTCACTAGAGAGATCTGAGCTGAACGTGGACGTGGTTGGGTTGGGCCATCAGCAGCACACGCATACCACATGTCCTAGGGGTATAGCAGCAAACTATGGCGTGGGGGCGTGTCCCCCAAGCGTACTTGGTTGCTCAATAATACCCTACCCAACCACTTCAGATTGATATTTGACCCTTCTGTCTCAAAAAGCACCTCACCCAACCGCAATCAGACAGACGCTCGGGCCGGGAGGGATACATCCTGACTGCATAATTGGGCCATCAGCAGAACATAAATGTGTGGTTGGGAGATTGCAGCATCCTAGTGCTTCTTGAGGATCCCACAATCCTGGCCAGCTGCATTAAAGATTATTTGTTAATGCAACAGGATACACACAGATAGTACAGATAGCACGCACAAGGGAAGAAGGATATATTACTGTCAACCATACTCCCAGCCAGACAGAACCAGGAGGGTGCCGGGAGTGGATGGACGGGGGCACAAGCTCGCCTGAGGAGCCTGAGTTTGAGAGAGAGGCGCACGCAAGCTCGCCTTGAGGTTATTGAGGGTGCAAGCTCACCTCGAGGTTATCGAAGCGAGTGAAGATGGCCGAGCAAGAAGCATTGTCCACCCCTTCTAACAGGTTGAGGATCTACCAGGGGAGGGGGAGAGGGGGGGGGTATATGCAAGGGGGTTTACGTGGAAGGGTGAACGAATGGAGGGCTGAAGGGAATGAGTAAGTACAGGAGGGTTTGGGGTTCTAATACGAGGGGGTTCTACCGTAATACGGCATGTTGCCCACCCCATTAACAAGTTGAGGATCTGCGGGGAGGGGGTATGCAACGGGGGTGTAATGAGTCGATTTTTGAGTCGACTCAAAAATCGTATGCAACGGGGGTGTACATGGAAGGGAGAGAGGCGACAGAGGGTTGGCACGTTTAAGACCCAATGCAAGGGGTTTTTGTGGACGGGTGAGACATGACAGGGGGGTTGGGAAAGGGTAGAGAACAGGGGAAGAGGCCAGCAGAGGCGTTGTTCACCCACGCACAGGACACAAAAGGAGCAGCACGCACGCATGCAAGTTGACATGCTCGCACGCACCCACCTCAGCATAGAAGTGTGCGTAACAGGGCAGAGAGTAGAAAATGACCTCCCGAATGCCCCGGATCTGAGAAGCAGGGAAGAGGAGAAGGCAGGGGAGGGAGAGGGCAGGGATTGAGACAGCAGGGGAGGGAGAGCGCAGGGGAGGGGAGAAGGAAGGGGAGGGGAGAAGGAAGGGGAGGGGAGAAGGAAGGGGAGGGAGAAGGCAGGGACAGGGGAAGGCAGACAGCGGAGGGAGGAGGCAGGGGCGGGAAAAGCTGGAAATACGAGCAGAGTGCTTCGAGCTGAATGGTGCACCAGCAGTAACACAGAAACTAGATCTGACCAGACTTCTCTTCACCAACACCACAGCGAACAATTACAGTGCGGAGATAAAAATGATACTTGAACCCTGTGTGGTGGTGGTACCCTGTTGTACATCAGTGGCAATACAGGCGCAGCTGCCACACACTGTAGCGGTGGTAGAAGTGCGGTTATTAGTGGTAGAAGTGCGGTTATTTGTGGTGGAAGTGCGGTTATTAGTGGAAGAAGTGCGGTTATTAGTGGTAGAAGTGCGGTTATTAGTGGTAGAAGTGCGGTTATTAGTGGTAGAAGTGCGGTTATTAGTGGTAGAAGTGTGGTTATTAGTGGTAGAAGTGCGGTTATTACTGGTAGAAGTGCGGTTATTAGTGGTGGAAGTGTGGTTATTAGTGGTGGAAGTGCGTTATTAGTGGTAGAAGTGCGGTTATTAGTGGTAGAAGTGCGGTTATTAGTGGTGGAAGTGCGATTATTAGTGGTGGAAGTGCGATTATTAGTGGTAGAAGTAAGGAAATAGAAGATGTAGCAGTGCTAGAAGGGCGGAACTGGAGATGACGTCGGTACCCTAGTACCCTGTAGCGGTGGTAGAAATGGGACCGTTCCGAGTAGAGCATGATGCGCCGCCGGTTCTGGAAGAACCACGCTCGGGCCCGGTGCACGTTGCGCTCGTCCGTGTATCTTTTGGGGAGAGGGGAGAGGGGAAGAGGGAGACGGGGAGAGGAAATGGGAGATAGGGGAGGGGAGATGGGAGATGGGGGAGGGGAGAGGGGGGGAGGGAGTGGGAGGAGAGCATTGAACAAGGTGAGAGGGAGGGCAGCCTCAAAGCAAGAACCAGGCACGGGCCCCGCGATGTGCACGTTGCGCTCGTCTGTGTTCTTGAAGAAGCAGGGCGGAAGGGTGCGGCGGACGGGGGGAGATGCGGGTGGATGAATCCTTGGGACGGGGGCGACGCGGGTGGATGAATCCTTGGGACGGGGGAGACGCGGGTGGATGAATCCGTGGGACGGGGGAGAGAGAAACTAAAGGAGATAAGTAAGGGGGCACGGAAGGGTGTCAAGAGAGAAAGATGTCTAAATAGAAAAGAGGCAATGTGAGAGGTGGGAAGGAAAGAGAGAAAAAGGACGGCGAGGGAGGAGAAGGAGACGGAATGCAACGAGAGGAGACGGACGTGAAAGGAAAGGCTATCAGACCAGTAGGGCATAGCATACTCAAAGAGGAGGCAGAAAGAGAGATTCTCTTGCTTAAAGGAAAAGAGGACACAGGAGCTTCTTTCTTGAAGGGGGTGGAAGGAGAGAGATTGAAAGGTCTAGGTGATCGAAGGGGAAAGAACGGAGGTGAAAGAGAGAACGAACTCGGAGAGGAGGCAGAAGGAGAGATTCCTGCTTGAAGAAGTTTCTGAGCCGTACGAATTCAAAGTAGGATTGCACGTAGACCAGCACGCCGCCCTGTGGGTTGAGTGGGGCAGAGAGCGGGAGGAGAGGTGAAACGGCAAGTGAACGCAGTGGTGCCTCGCAAGTGTGAGGGCAGACTCAAAGTAGGACTGCACGTAGACCAGCACGCCGCCCTGCGGGTTGAGTGGGGAAGAGAGCGGGTGGAGGGATGGGTGGTGGGACGTGGCATGGGAAGAGCATGCGGGGCAACTCAAAG